TTCTTTATACTATGGTTTTAGATCTATAGAAACCATAACCACATTCACTCTATTATGGTTTTAGATCTATAGAAACCAGTACCACATTCTTTATACTATGATTTTATATATATAGAAACCAGTATCACATTCAGTCTACTATGGTTTTAGATCTATAGAAACCATTACCACATTCACTTTATTGTGGTTTTAGATCTATATAAACCATTACCACAATCACTCTACTATGATTTTAAGTTTATAGAAACCAGTACCACCTTCTTTATACTATGGTTTTAGATCTATAGAAACCATAACCACATTCACTCTACTATGATTTTAAGTTTAAAGAAACCAGTACCACCTTCTTTATACTATGGTTTTAGATCTATAGAAACCATAACCACATTCACTCTATTATGGTTTTAGATCTATAGAAACCAGTACCACATTCACTTTATTATGATTTTAGATCTATGTAAATAGCGCCACAATCCCTCTTCTATGATTTTCTTATTTTCCGTTAGTTTAGAAAATCACTGATTAATTAACGTATTTTTTATGAATTAGTTTTCTTTGCTTCTTTTTTTTTTAATTTCACATCACAATTCAAAACACCACTTTTCCCAGTTCTCCTAGTCCCCCGGTGGGACAGTGGTAAGTTTACGGACTTACAACGTTTATATCCGGGTTTCGATTCCCCGCGGTGCACATAGCTCAATGTGGCTCTGCTCTTACAAAAACCACAATTCTACTAAGCTTGAAAATGATTATTTTAAAATTTATATCGTTAGTATTTTGAGTTATCTCTTTGAAAATAAGTTGTGAAAATAGGTTCACAGTTTCTAGATATGCATGAAAAAGGTTTGAATAGCAATATACAAGTAAATATATATATATATATATTCTAAATTATATCGTGCCTTTATAAAAAGTGTAAACGAGGTAATTAGAAATGAAAACCATTTGCTAATCTTTATGTTTCGTGATTTATTTCCACCAGGAGGTGCCAGCGTTGGAAAATCCATTAAATATCAAAGAAGAAAACGATAAATGAAAACTAATTTCATACATTCACTTCAAAAGAAAATCATCATAGGACGTCACTGGATCAAGCACATCCCTGAAATCTTTACATATCAGTTACCTTGGAAATAAGAGTTTGCCCGTATATATTTTTAAACACTAACCCTTGGGAATTTTACAAACACAGGTTGTAACCTATTTCGAATAAAGCTTAAGTATTGGGATTTTCGCATCAGGAACGTTTCAAATGATACCACTGCAACCGTTAACATAAAAACAAACGGATATGTAATTTGTGAAGATTAAAGTAATTCCTTCTTGAAACCCGATACCTGAAATATTTGCCCGTAACAATAAAGTTCAATGAATCTTACGAGGCTATTGGTTGAGGAGCTTGATATTTGAAAAACATTTAGATTCTTGTATTTTCACGCAGACATAAAAGATATTGTCAGGCAAAACTACGACTTATTAATTTACTGATGAAAAAAGTAAAAACCGAATAAAATTCCATGTTGTTTTACTTAAAGACGATGTTTGGTTTTTAAGGTCATGGCTTACTTAATTAGTAGATTTAGTTTGATTTGTTTTCCTTAAATGTTGTCATTTATACCTGTTATCAATTAATATTAACTAATTAAATATACGCTTTTTCTTATACAGATTAGAATGTATTGCTTCATCAGTTAGGTACCCTCTCTGTTATTGGAAAAGATCACTGTCTATGGCGGACACTATTATTGACTCTTCTTCCTGAGAAAACCATAAGAGACCAAATAAATAGTACTTTCTTTTCACAAATATATCACTGTATACTTTCACAGAATATCTTAAGCTTTACAGTAACCTTTCACACGAGAAGGCTCACGTGATACCATAAGCAAATGACCTACAACAATAGGCAACTAGGGTAAAAGGAGCTTAGCTACTTCCTTGACCATCATTTTATGTTAAACCCATAGATGCTTGTGTGCATGAACATTTTGAAGGTTTTTTATGTGTGCTTAAGAGTTAAATATAAAAAGGTAGAAATCACCTAGTACACCTCCACACTACAATAGTTTAAACTCAAGAATATAATCTAACTGCAAACTGTATATATAGGTTCTTCAGAAAATATACATTGGTTACAGATATCACATGAGATACCATTTGGAACAAAAAATTGTAATTGAATGTACAACAAATAACAGATCAAATGTAATGATAACTTTATAAGTGAAAAAAAAGCTCGATTCTTTATGCATAAACTTATATACATAAAAGTTTTTGCAATTCAGTGCATCATATACCACAAACGGTATGTTATAGGAATGTAAAAATGCACAGGACTGTTGCCACAGTTTCCATATGTTGCCAACAGTTACACTACTATCACCTAATCTCTCTGATCAATCGCAGCAGCTGTTCAAAATTGATCCTCCATCACTGAGAATGCACTGTATCTGTGTTACAATGAACATTGTAGCAACAATGCACTTCTCATCTTGTATACTGGACACTTCCAGAACATCTGCATTTTTGAGGTTTGAAACTGTATGAGGATTCATACTGTACAGATATGACTTCAGGTACCACTACAACCAGAATAGGTTGGCGTTATGTTCAATGAACAAGTTGTCCATTCACAATGAAAATTACGTGAAATGCTTCTATTCTGAAAGTATTCCTGCAAGATGTGTTTCACCTAGTCACCAATATGTGTGTTTGCATGAAAACGGTAATGTCTACCACATTCTGTTGCTGCAGCATGGGAATTTCATTGGTTTTGAAAATTGCATGGTATCATTCAACTTTGACTTTGTAAGTTTGCAGTCAATGTGCTGATGGTTCTTCAAAAAAGTATGGTCCAGTAACAAAGACAGCTGTGAATTTACACCATACTGTCACCTTAGCATTCTGGAAGAGCAGATGCGTGTATTAACACTTCCAGTAAAGGTGAAATACACTTCATCAGTTTACAAGCTATTGGCCATCGACTTTCAGTTGACCAAGAATTGTAAAATCAACGCAACGGGTAAATTCTTCTTCTCCTTCAGTGCTTGAACATGACATCCAGTTTGTAACGAGTCATTCGTAAAGTTGACCAAAGAGCCTTGTGAACAGATGAAATTGGCAAATCCAGACAATGAATGACATAAAGTGCATTGCCGCACCTACGTGCACTTGTGTTAGCTTTTTCTGCTATGACATAGTTTATCAAAGTGGTAGTTTTAGTAGGTGTTGATGGTCTGCCTGTACGTGGCTTATTACAAGTTCAATCTTTCTTTTTTCCTTCGGAATTTGAGTACAGCAGCACTAAAACTAGGCCCCCTGCGGATGTTATGCATAGCTTCCAATTTGTTTTAAACTAGGGAATAAACTGTTGTTTTAGGCTAAAATAATAGGAAAATACGCGTTTTCTTCGGGTTTCTGGTCAAACTTGTGAAATAGGTCGGTACGCCTAATTTTTAATGATGCACTATTCGCTCCGTGGTCCTCATTAATTCTGCATCAACAATATGATGTAATTAGTTTCTCGTGCTTGTGTTATTGCACACACTGCTGACAGGTTCAAGTCTGACAGCAAAAGAGCTTTCTGAAGCTACTTAACTACTGATAAAGTAATTAAAATTTTCATTAAAGAAATACCAGTTAAAACAAAGACATTCACAATTGCCCGACCTTTCGTCAATTTCCTCTTTAAATTCTAAGTTGTACATAGATGGTGGCCCTGAGGTAAATAAGAATAAGTACTTACTGCTGTGTCTGTTAATCAAGTCTTTACAAATGACAGCTAAAAGTTGTCGAAACGCCGATTACTAAATAATGTTTTGTGTTGAATGTTTTCTTAATGTTGGACTTCCAGAACCATACACTGGTGATATTTACGCCCTATCTTGTGAATAGCTTGGGATATAACTGACGAAACAGTACCTCCAGAAACGTCAACTTAAGCGTATTTTTCATGAAATATGAATAAGTGGAGATATCGAAGTTTGTATTTTCATTGGAATATAAGTTAATTAGCTCTAAACTGACTATTGTGAAACTAATTTTATACAGAGTAGCTAGGTATTGGTGTGATATAATGATGAGTATCATGATTGAATTATTGTTTTGTTTTTCTTACGCCAAAATCTTCTTTACATAAAGTAAAGAAGCGAAATAGTATGTTGTTGTTTATGTTTCATTTCATTGTGTATTAAATATGTTTATTAATAAAAAAAGGCACACACAATGTCTGATTGTTCATCATGAACTTGCATAGCAATTGAAACAGTTAACTTTTAAACAAAACAGCGCCCCTGGTGATTCAGTAACAACGTTTGGATATTTTTATGATGCTAAAGATCGGGTTTGATACCAATGGTGAGCACAGTACAGATAGCCCAGTATGTAGGTTTGTACTTAACAAGAAACAAACAAAAAATTAATCTGACTATAAAAAATTGTAATAAATCAGGGAAAAAAGTAAAAAAAAAAATGAAGTAATATTCAAAGAAAATCCAATAAAATCTGAAAATATTAGAGAGTTACAGCAACTAAACAAATCCATAATTTATATATAAATATTTATATTTATTTATATATAAATCTATAATTTAGATACAATGTTATAGAAAGAAAAAAGTTCGAATGTTTATAAACGCCAAGAAGTTAATGTAAAAACTTTGCTTAAAATATGAATCAAGGTTTGAAAATTGCTAAACAACACAAGTCTAAGAAATGAATAAAAACTGTTCACAAGTAAATTTTGGTGGTTAAAAAAGGTAGTTTCATAGACTGAAAACAAAATCAAATGTTACACAACTATTGAACTTGTATATGAATGCAGCTAATTGTGTTATTGAAAACTTATACGATATATGATCTAAGGAAACGATTTAACAAAGATGTGTTTCAGCTCTATTGTATCTCCAACCGTCGGAGAAAGTGAGTGTGTTTATAGACTGAGTATGTTAGGGATGTGATCATATTCCTATGGAGAACTAAAACAATAGTCCCGTGACGGTAATGTCTAAATCAAGAACTCGGATCAGAATACGTAGTAACGTAAGCATTGGATCAATTGGCATGCAATTTAGACAGTCATTAATAGATGGCGCTACAGGGCACACGCAAATTACCTTTTTGGAGCTTCTGCCACATAAAGCAAGAGTTGTAACAAGGGAATTGCCCGGTTACATGAATAGTGCTGAACATTTTAGCCTAATTGCGGCGCACGATGTTTTACGATGGAATATAAATGCGAAATAAGTCTAGGAAACATGTATCCGGGGTCAACATGCAGCACAATATTTGTTAATGTTATCAAATTCTGTGGCTTATTTTATTAAAAGCTTTAACGATACCATAAAGTCCCATAGGACAAGTAACGAAGCTAGCGTGGTATTAGAAGACACACAGAACATTAGTCTATGTAGGTGTGGTACTGGTGAGCAGCAATGAAAAACACACAATGGAACAACGCCCTCTACTGGTCTTTAGTTTCAACTGAGTACTACATGTATTACAGCGATATATCTGGTAATACAGTACTTCGTATCAGTTTTGAGTTACCATTGGTGATTCAACTTAAGCTAGTCTGTCTCCATATTTGAAGAGCAACAAAAACACGTTAAGAGATGGTGCTTAACAATCGTTATTGTGGAGATACAACAACCAGTTTTTGATTATATTTATCTAACGCCAACAATACAAGCTACTTGGATTGTTTTGTAACAATGGGCCACGCATGGCCAATTAGTTTAGCGTGTCCGTACTGTGAATACGAAAATTCATTATTATAAAAACGCGATCCGCACTTTGGGATCATGAGTACACTATAAGAATGACCATGAAACACTTCTTAGTTGATAAGACAACAGTACTCCCAGAGTTGGGCGGCGGGTGCTGTTGACTAACTTCCTTCCTCATAATCTGTCAGTTCAAAATTAGGGAAGGCTATGCGCAAAAAAAAATAAAATCGAATCTTGTTTTCTAATATATTTCAAGCTCATGGAAAATTCATAGGAACTGATTAGTGCATCTTGTTTTATTTGAAATACAAAACATTGTAAACATATTTTTACCCAAACGTACAAAAGCCTAAATAGTCGGGGTGTGCTAAAAAAAGCTTGTCGAAAAATTAATTATTTCCTCTTCTAGAATAGGTACTACGGTTTTGTTTTCACTAGGTGAAAGCCCCACCCCTACCCCCAATGGCTCGGCATAAAGTCTGAAGGCTTATAATGAAAAATAAAAAAAAACACTGTGTAGCTTTATGCTTAACAAAAAACAAACACTAAATGAAAGATCTCTCAAAACAAAGATAGCAAAAAAAAACAATGTTCATTTTATTAGTTTATAAAACAAGACTTAAGAGGGTTCATATGGCCTAATAATTTTATACGTTAAAACTGTAAAACTTAATTAAGATTTGTTATATGTTGTTTTATAAGAAAATAAGCACATACCTGACAAAAAGAAATATAAACTTAATGTTAACTATGATAATTTAAAATATTAACCAGACTTAGGCCTAATGTAGACTGTTACTTAGTGACTTTGAATTCTTAGAATTTTAATTATTCTTGGTTCACATTAAGAAAATAATGTTTAAAATTAAAATTGAATATTGATTATAGAAATCTTCCTCAACTTTTGATAAATTCATACTGGTAAGCCATAAATTCAATACTGGTAAGCCATAAATTCAATACTGGTAAGCCATAAATTCAATACTGGTAAGCCATAAATTCAATAGTGGTAAGCCATTAAAATAGTTAATAAAACCGAAAGTTGTTACTTTATCAAAAACTCACAGTTTCTAGAAATAAGTAAAATGAACTTTACGTATTTTTCTTTACATAATGTATTATTTATGTACAACACCATTACAACTTCGTGTAAACAACATAAAATATCCTGTTAAAAGTAACCAACGTATAACATACACGATAATTGTTCTAACTATTCTCAGCTAATGCTGTATTAACGAACAAGCCTGAGGGAATGACCTTGGCTGTATAAATGTATATACATAAATGTCGTTTAAATATGTCTTCTCTGCGATTGTAATTTGTATTTAATATTGATGAAGGCTTACGTAATTACGAGTTGGCAGCACTGAGATCTCTTGGAACATAACAGATTGGATGAATTTTCAACAACTGTTGGTTTTTCCTTTTACTGGAATTAGAAATTCGGAGTAGTGAAACGAGCGAGAGCCTGTTAGAGAACAGGGAAGGAAGCTTTGTTAGAATATTTGACCTAATTGGAAAGCATATTCTGCCTGATTAGATGAAGAGGAAGTAAAAGGAGGCCAACTGTGTATACAAGTATTTTGTGACATTTGCGTACTAAAGTTTTTTGTTTTTTTTTAAATTCTGGTCTAAAATATTCAGTTGCCATTTCATTGTTGTGGTTTTCATATATGAAGCACATAAATTCGTAATATTTGTTTACTTGCCACCTTTGAGATAATAAGGGTAAAATAATTAACCATTTAAAAACTGCTATATTTAATTAACATTTTAATCTTGACCACGCTTAACTCTAAATAGTTTCAAACGGCTAATTACAGTTTAAATGCTAAGATATCTTTAACAAGAACAGCTTAATTTAGATCATCCTTTGTTCGCCGAAAAGAGGAAAATACATTCATATGTTTAAAAAAATCTACCATAATCATATTTTGTTACCTGGAAGACATTTTAAATCTAAGCCAAAATATTCTAAGGTTTTCAAAGTCCACTGTGATAAAATCAAGACATCGTATACCAAAATAATTTGAAGGATTAATTTTCTAATAATCCAAAGACTAACTAGAAGGTAAAAAATATTTTGAAAATAGTCTTATCATTGTAGAAGGGGAAAATATTTAATATTGAAAGTTAAATGAATGAACGTAACAACAGTTTTTATGTGACTTAAAAATAAATAATTTTTTAATATTTTTTAGCGTAAGTTTCATATACAGTATTAGTTAAAATATTTTATCACGATAATTATTTTGTATTGTTAGTTTAGCATAGGGATTCTCAAACTGAGGTACGTGGAGTTAATGTCGGTGGTACACGACAAAATTAATATAAAAAATCATAAAATTTGTAATAAGTCCTATCTGAGCTTTCCATGCACGTATACATTCCGTATGTATATGTATGTAGGTAGAGGGTGAGTCAATAACTGAGGATAGTTACTATCCTCACTTATTGACTCACCTTCTACCTACATACATACTACTATCCTCACTTATTGACTCACTTTCTACCTACGTACATATACATACTACTATCCTCAATTATTGACTCACCTTCTACCTACGTACATATACATACTACTATCCTCAGTTATTGACTCATCCTCTACCTACGTACATATACATACTACTATCCTCAGTTATTGACTCACCCTCTACCTACGTACATATACATACTACTATCCTCAGTTATTGACTCACCCTCTACCTACGTACATATATATACTACTATCCTCAGTTATTGACTCACCCTCTACCTACATACATATACATACTACTATCCTCACTTATTAACTCACCCTCTACCTACGTACATATACATACTACGAACCTCACTTATTGACTCACCCTCTACCTACGTAGACTCGCCTGAGTTTCAAATTACAAAAAATTAAACAAAAACTGGTATACGAGCCTGAAACGATTGAGAGGCACTGGTTTGGCATATAGATTTAGCATTAATTAAAAAAAATATCTTAAGCTCGACGAACCGCGTGAGATAATATTAGGATTATGGCCGAAACTATAGACAGTAACGCAGGTATCCAATGCTGAATCAATATATTTTAATCCTTAGAAATTTTTGTTTTTCGACATTGCGTACTCTTCACTTATGTGGTACATTACTTAAGCTACATTATTTACTGATTTAAAGTTTAATTCTGACCTATGAAGGTAACTTGGTTTGAGCATAAGTTATTGGTACTTACACCTATTTCAAGAAAACACATAATAATTAGATATTATCTAGTATATAGAAGTCCCATTATAATTATAGCAATTAAACTTGATAGTAATAAATAGAAGCCACAACTAAACGGTGGTTTAGTTAAAACCAGAAGGTAATCAGAATTTACAGACTGATAAGTAAAAAGAATCAGCTAAAGAAGCATATCGGTTTGTCAACTAAGTTGTTCCAATTTTATAAGGTTCCAACCTCTTGTCT